CATGATGCCCCATAGATGTGGGTTCTACTTCATTCCTGCAGTTCGCCCGTCTCTGAGCTAGGAGACGTTATGGAGTTATAGATGTCCCTGGTCCAAGCGGACGGGCTTTGTCATCCGTCCATATTTCTATGCAGGCACTATCTGCGCGACTTCCTCGGTGGTTTGGGCGTTGGTTTGTTTTTTGCCTGGGCCGACGCCTTAACTTTCGGCCTGCGTGCATGCCGTGCATGATGCTTCAAATCTGGGAGGCCCCTCAAGTTCCCGACGTCAGGTCTACATCCAAGCTCATCGCCAGTACCGCATCGACATGAAGTTGTTCTACCTGGAGGCCTCGACAACTTTGCATATGCAAAAGCTTGAGTTCCCGACCTGTGCCTTGAGGCCCCTGAGCACAAAATCAACTGGGTGGTTCCACGCGGAGATCTCTGAGAGCTTGAGAGCGGGACATTAGTGTCTTTGGTGTTTTTGACTTGCTAAGTCTGGCGCAGGCAGACGGGTGTGTATGTGTCCAGCGGGCAGAAAGCACAGTTTTATTTTGTTACCGCAGCAACTGATGGCTAAAGATGCTTGCGTCCATGTAAGTGAGGCATCGGATCCTTGTTGGGCTTTGGATGGAGATGTGATGTATGGAGTGTTTGGGCAAGTGAGGACTGTTTTGCTTCGTCCCTTTACGATTGGAAGGTGTCGCTCTGCTAGAAAAGACCTTCCAGCTGCGGTGGCGGCACCACGTGAACACCATGCATAAGCCTCTTTCCTTGTCTTGTGCACTTGCTGCATGCAGCCTCCAAGCAGTCTGTAAGTTATTGCTGCAGAGCTAACATAAGATTTCTTTCAGGTGGCAGCCTGCTGAAGTCACGCCTGCCGAGTCGCAGGCAGGTGCATAGCGCCTAGCGGTGGAGGTGGCGTTTTGAAGTCCAAAGCCTCGAGGTGGGCGGACAGACGGTCCAGAGCTTCAATGCGCGAGGGCTGCGTGCGGAGGACCGCAGCACCCCGGAGTGCCACGTGGACCCACCACCTAGTCAGCCTGACCTGCCCCAAGGCGCCCCTTGCCATGTGGCCCACAGCGGCTGGTGTGGGCATTGCTGGCTTGAGTTTGGTGTCATGATGCAGTGGTGTCAAAGACCGGTAACATGGGCCGACCTTCCAGGCATGCTGGTCATGATGCTGCTGGGCGCCCTGCTCATTGGCTACTGCGTGCAGGCACACATTTCGGCAGAACGTGCTTCCTATGTGAAGTTGTTCATTTCTGCTGCATGCTTCCGTTCATGATGACAGGTTGGACGGCGAAAGCAAGAAGAGGTTGCCAGAATCAGAAAGCCGGATGTGCTTCAGGAGCCTGTCGGGAATGCCACTTGTGGGATCCACTGTCTCCCGTCAAAGTCTAAGTGATGCCTCGACGGACCGAGCCACGCCCTGTCCAGCAACCCCGCAGTCGTCCGGAGACTGCTGCAAGCAACTGCTGTCAGCCTTGGGTGTTACTGGTAACATGCAGTGTAGGTGAAACATGTGAAACCTGCTAAATGAACAGGGCTTGTGTGCCTGCGTGCCTGCGTTTTACGCTGGTCGAAGGGGGCCAGCGAGACTGCACACCAATTGACAGACAAGGCGGCCACAAAGGACTGGGTGGGCGGAAGAGTTGGCATTCATCGGTGGATATGGTCGATGGTTTGGTTGTGCCGGGTAGTGGTGCGCGTGGGATGGTTGGCTGATCACATTGAAGCAAGAATGATCACGTTGAAGCGAGAAGGAAGCCAAGCATTTCTGCGAGTACCTTGCCAGATTCTTCGTTTGTGAATCAGATGAGAGAAATGAATGCAGAAGAACTGTGCGAGGAACTTGGCACTTCAGTTCGAAATCGACGGCATACCCAGCGGAACAGACAAATATCGTACAGCCTCATGAAGTAGGGCTTTGGCAGTTTGGTCAGCTGGAAGGGAACAGACCATGAGCTTCATGCAGCTGGAGCAGTATGCGACTTAGACAGCCAAGCGGAGGATTCGATGCGAACTGCGACAGGGGTTGCCTTTGCTTAAGAGGCGTGTAACATACCGTGCCAGCAAAGGAAGCCCTATGCCGTTTGCCATGATGAAAGCGAAGTAAGTGAGGAAAACATAGGCAAACAATGGCAAACAGCTGTTTGAGTTCACACACCACGTCTGCACTGCTCGTGCTGTGTGGTGCTTTCTTGGGAGATGTGCGCCTTCTGTCTTTGTTGCACTTGCAAGTCATGGGACAGACCCGTCCCTGCTAGGAGACCAGTCCGAAGCCAAGTGAGCGGGCTCCGGGCTACATGCTTTCACATCCAGTCGCTCGCAAGTCAAGGGTGCCTCCACCAGTGCATATAATTTCTGAGGTCCTGCCGACAAGGTCGAGAAGCAGGCCACGGGAGGGAAGCGTGATCCGGTTTGAAGATCGAACGCATCTGCGGTACAGGCCGAGATCGGGCAAGTGCTCGATTGTGCGCTCTCCAGGCCGCTGACCTCCACGTACACAGGATCTACACACACACACACACACACGCATGCACACACTCACATGGCACCTGACCGTGCACAGGCCGTCCTCCCGTGGCTCACGAGTCGGAGCAAGCCTTGTCTCGCTTGAATTTCCTTTCTTCCGGGCCTCTGCAAGCACCCTCTTACACCCTCTTTATGTCTGCCAGACGGCCTGGTCACCGACGCGGCCATGCACAGCACCGGAGCGCAGGACCGGAACTCCCCGGCGCTTGTGGCATCCTAGTAGCCAGCCTAGCCAGCCGTCTGTGATGACAGCTTTGATTTTCTGCGGTTTTTGGCCCAAGCAGAGACTCAGAGGCAGGCTGCCACTGTGCTCCGTTCCGGGGGGCACATAGTGGCAGGAAGCCATGAAGTCCGATGAGAGACCGTCAGATGGCCTCACGGGCTTACTGCCGACCCTTATTGCCAGGGCCTTCAAAACATGGCCTTCAAAGTCCGAAATGAAGGAGCTCAGAGTCGAGCTGAGGTTGTTGGCTCTTGGCTCTCAGGGCCAGTGCTCCTCCTCCTCTGGACTTTCGTGTTCTTGGCCAGGCCGCCCCTCGCAGCCTTTGCCAGCCTTTGCTGCTCGTGTTGCTTCTGTTTTGGTGAGGATGAACTTCATGGGCCTCCTGGTAGTTCCCTCCTATTTGGTGTCGCTCGACTCCAAAAACGGGCTTCTCGGCATCTGGCAGCCTGGCAGTACGACCGTCGCCACTGCGAGGATGTACAAACTGCCGCGCTGGCAGCTGCGAGCAGGTGCCCGGCAGCGGATGTGGCTCTGAGCGAGAACGGAGCCCAAAACGGAACCCCATCTCACGGGAGGCTTTTGGCTTGCGATGACTTTGGTGGGTGCAGCTTCAGGCCTTCTTGCTGGTGTTTCGCCATGCTCTGCTCGTTGGAGTGCCCCTGGAGGTCCTTTAGGCTTCTCCTTCTGCGTGACCGTCTTCATCTTTGCGGCGCCGGTGATCTTCGACCTGCGAGTGAGCGCCTGGCCCGGGAGACTTGGCGGGAGCTAATCTGCAGCTTCTGAAGCATCTACTCCTACACTTCTTGGGGAGGCCTGGTGTCCCTTAGGTTCCTTGCCTGGATGGAAGGCCAGGGCTTCAAAAGGTTCCTGGCGAGGTGCGAGCTGCGAGGATGCCTGGACGACGTGAAGCCAGTTGGGGCCCGAGTCTCCCGAGTCTTCCTGCCTCCGGCAAGTTTAACCATGCCGGAAGCCGCTAAGCCTGCTAAGCCGTCCCAGGAGAAGACCCTGTTTGCATTCCATCCGCATGGAGCAGTCTGCTTTGGCTTCACAGCCAACGGAATTTTTGATTCAGCATTTGTGAGCAAGTCTGCGCCACGATGGCATTTCGACGCATGTGCGAGATATCGACACGGCATGCACCCCACACTTCTGCCCTTTTTGTGCGTCAAGGCGAAGATAGCTTTTTTGATTGATGACTTCCTGCGCAACGGCAATCCCATCTTTCGATTGCTCTGCGACACGTGCCCTGTTCGGATGTGAGATGTGTTTGTCAGCGTCTTTCGCAAGCGCTCAGCTTGACTCGATTGTGGCCGGGAAGAGAACCGCATGAGAGGTATTCAACAAGATCTTGGGAGGCAGGTCTTGCATTTTTCGCGGTTAGACTCTCCGCCCTTTCTGCTGCAAGATGTCAACCGCCGACAAGTCCACAGTACAGAAGCTGATGTCTCAAGGGGCGAATGCGGCCTGGCCAGCAGTTCAAAGAGGGGACTCTACCCGAGCCCACTGTCGGCAAAGACTTGGCTTGCACCGCTGACGTGAGTTGAGCCCAAGGTAGCTTTGGCCTTGGGTGGGTTTGAAGAAGCCACGGCATCTTTGCACCATGGATGTGTGTGCGGTTGTCTTGAGTTGGTGAGGTCTCCAGGACCCTGTGTTTAGCTGCGTAGCCTGCGGCTTGATGATTTGTCCTGGAGCACTCATGCGCTGGAAGGTCTGTGAAACTGGCAAGGATCGAGTGGTGTTGAAATCCAGGAAAGGCATCATCAAGTACTGCTTGCAGCCTGGGGCTGAGCCGAGCCCTCCAATACCCGAACCTGAGGTTCTAGATAAATGCGAGTTATCGGTACTCTCGCCGCTTGAGTAAGGCACGGCTACAGGATTCATCCCGTTTATTCCTTTGGGGAGGACGAGACTTATTCGTTTATGCCGGGGCTTATCAGCTTTCGGCTGTGGCTACTTGGTCATCTGAGGTGCTAGCGTCGTTTTGGAGCATGGGGTCACCATCGCATGAGTCCTTGCCGGCTGCCAAGGTTGAATCAGTTCAAAATTCCCGCTGCGACTTGCCCAAACATGCTAGAATCCGATGGGGGCTTGATGATCGGCGAGGTCGTGGCAGCTCCGTAGAGCCAAGATAATCTTGGTTTGGCTGGTCGACTCTGTTCCTGGAGCATTGATTCTTCCAGGTTGCTTTCTTTGGGGATCTTATGACTCCTTGCTTGCCGAGACGGCAGGCCCGGAACAGTTGAAGAAAGGGGAAGGTGTAGGTGTGTGTGTGTGTGTGTGCGAGAGGGTAGCAAGCTGCAGCTGGGAGGCGAGAATGCTGACGGTTGTCGGTGAAGCGATCCAGCATCTGGGCAGAAGCTTGTGCTGTTGATGCGCTCCTGACAAGTGCTGCTCCTCCTCTGAAGGTGCCCACAGATCCCAGCGCCAACCCAAGAAGACGTTGACCTCTGGCATGCCAGATATCAGAAAGCGCTCACCTCCACCTTTCAGCAGTGGAGCCTCAACTGCAGTCTACTCGCCGTTCATGTCCCTTGGGGCTCGAGCCGGAGCTCCAAGGAAGGCCGAAGCCGGAAGACCGCACGCTGAGTTGGAGGTCTTTTGAGCCTCTCGGGCCGCGGGTTGGGACACGTTCTGAAGAGCCCCTCTACATAGCTCGGAGCGGAAGGATGCGAGCGCTCAAACCTGTTCCGCACCGGTTCCTTGGAAAGTCGTGGGGCAAGCAGGAAGCTGCTTCCTCGTTTTGCATGGGGTCAGGAGCATACCCAGGAAAAATCCAATCAAGTCCATGATTGCATGCTGGGAAGGCGTCAAGGCATGCGTCACACTGACATGGCCTGACAACTGACAGCAAGCCCTTCTTGCGCAATTTAGCAGCACTTCTGGAGCGTACTAAATCGAACCACCGCGAGTTATTCTTCGAACGAGGTGAGAGGGGTTTGAGCATCCAATGCCCGACAGCGTCATGTGCCACCCCCTCTTGCCATATGTAAAAGGCCGAGAGCATGTAGCAAATGTAGTACTTGGACCCTGGACCGAGCTCTGCACTCCAGTTTGAATTTGCAGACGCAGAGGTACAGAATTGCATGGCCCCGGCAAAGCTGGGGCTGCTTCAGAGAGCTTGAGAAGGATCAACTGTGAGAGTTGACCTGTCCTTAGCGGCCCTGGCCCTTCGCATGAAGCTATAGACACCCGAAATCACCGAGCGCTGGAGCTCAAAATGGGAACCGACTTCTGCTCCTCGGATCGGAGACACTTCACTTGGCTTGTCTGCAGGGCAGGAACCGGTCGGCCGACGAGCGCGTGCTCTAAAGCTTCCCAGGACAGGAGCAAGACTTCTCCTCCCCGGCGGATTTGGGTCTCTGTCGCAGGATGGAGGGCTCCCACGAAGCCGACAGGCATCGCGTGAACAAGGGAAAGTTGAACAGTCTTCGGCAAAAGATCTGCTTTTAATCTTGCCTCCCGGTGATAGCCAAGTTGAGCATTCACTAGCTTTTTTTGACATGCAGAGTGCAGGACGTGGGGCCGTCCGTGACTGTCGTAAACCCTTGTTTCCCTGCAGGTCCGCACGGTCTTGGAGTCTGAGGCTGCAGTGCCTAAAATTTCCTTTCCTGGCCAAGCCCCAAGCTTAGTGTGCCTTGCAGATCATGGACGACGAGTTCGAGTGGGCGCGCCCTGCTACGGACATTTTGTCATCTCGGCTTCCCGAGGTTCGGGGAGGGCCAACTCTTGCTGCAGACTGGCCATGTCATGACCTGGGACAGGGCCGTTTTACCGTGGAGGACCTTTGCACGGCAAACCCGACTCATTGACCGGAGGCCTTGGACCGTAGAGCTATTCTCGATGGTCGACCAACCTGGAGCAAACATGAGATGTCATGGGCTGTTGACGAGTCATCCGTTGGCATGTCCTGACAAATGCAGCCGCCGTTCAGAAGCGCAGGGGCAGCTTTGCAAGAAGAGGTTTGCATCTGCTTGCCGGAGGTACAGGCTGAGGGAGGTGAGGCGGCGTTCAACACGCGTCATCTCGTGCAATGGACCGCGCCAGCGTCTTGCTCGATTTCTGCGGAGGGCGCCTGGAGATTGTATGCCTGTTGGATGCAACCTCTCTCGGCCGCATGCTGCGCTGCAGCAAATCGGCGCGAGTCGTCGTGAAACATGAGTGGCGCTGCTGGGATGCGCGATTTCAAACTTTCAATGCGACGCATCTTGAGAGTGCCCTGGTGAGCCAGAGCATGCCACATCGATTGCTGCCTTTGAACAGCTGTGTGCTTGTGTACCGAGCTCAGGTGAGCTGGTCGTTCTTTGGAGCAGGTACGGCCAGTCGATCAGCCAGCTGCCCATGAAGAAGCCTCGTTCGGCTGGCGATGTGTACAGGCTTTGGCCGTCACGTGACTGGTTCAAGGGAGGCGAGCTACCTTTCACTGATTGGATCCAATTTGCCGCTGAGCTGCATTAGTCTGAACTTTGCCAATAAAGCGTACATGCGGTTACATGGTGTTACATGATGTTACATGCAGATGCTGACAGTGAGGAACGAGGTGATTCATCGTACAATCTTTGGATTCTCGACCTTCCAACTGCACTTCCTCTCCTCGGACGCCTGGTGAGCGACTTGTATATCCGACACTTCGATGACCTTAGTGTTTATTCAGTGTTTATTCAATCTTAGCTTCTCTGATCTGTGATTGTGTTCTGCATCTGTCATATCGTTTGGTCCGTTCAAGGAGCAAACTCGGCAGCGATTTTCCAGATGAAGCGGCGTAATGATGCACCTGGTGCAGCCGAATTTCTCCAGGCGCTGAAGGAGCAGTCTGAGCAGAAGGACCCGCCTTTTTACCCACACCTTCGCACGTGCAAGCGAACACTGCGAGCAGAGGCCCCTTGTAGCCTAGAAGTGAACGTGAATCAATACAACCATGCGGCTAAACCCTTAAAGCCCGAGAACCGCTCCCAAGAAGGCGGTCGGGGTTCCCTTTGAGCACAGCAGGGTTCTCTTCCCAGTCCTGCTCTTTGGGCTTGCTGAGAGCGCAGAGCCCTGGTTTCTCCCCGAAGGGACCCAAGTTTTGATTGATTCTTATGGTTAGTTCCTTATCCCAGTTGGATCTGTGACCTGAGTTCTGACTTGGGGCTTAGATTGGAGCTTTGGGTTTAGGGCCAGGGTGTGTATATAGGGCTTGAGGTTGGGGGTTTGGAGTCTTTGTCGGTCGTATCTTATCCTAGTTAGTGCTGCAGTTCTTATTATCATCATCGTGTTTGTTGCGATTGTTGCTGTTGTTGCGCTCGGTCTTCGATGTTCTTCCGCCCAGGGGTGGCGAACCGGAAACTCTCGACTGTGCCGTATCGCACAGAGCCGCGGCATGCCTGTTTAACTTCTAACATCATATCTGTAGTCTCCATTGTAGTTGCTTTTTTGGGGGTGCCTCATTATAGGGATCCTAAACTGATTAATTCCAACCATGCGGGGTCTAGCGAGGGGTACAGGACTCCTTCATGAGCTGGGAGCTGCAGATGCGACCCCTGGATTGGCAAAAAGTTAGTCTCGGGGAGACTTTCCTTGAGGTTTTCGAGTGCGTGTGCTAAGGGTTAACGACGCAAGTCCAGACCCGTTCTACCTGTGTTGTGTTTTTGTGCAGCCGAGGTCCTTGTGCGGAGCTTATGCGACAAATTAATTGGGATGATGACACACAAAGTTGGCTTCTCAGAGGCCGCAGCCGAGCCGAGTTTGAAGAGGTGCTACTGCGAAGACCGTCGCTTCGTCATGGCCCCTTGCTGCCCCGCTCTCCGCAGCCTGTGCATGGGCTAAGCCTCTGGTGGGGACAGGAATCCGTGTTCATGACCTGGGACAGGAAGGAGCTGTGGATTTATGGATGCTACATGGACTGAGGGCTCTCATGGGCTGGGTGGAACGAAGCTCACGAACAGCCTCGACATCAAGGGAAGACTCACGCTAAGAAAGCCAGGCATGTAGTGGTGGGGGGCGGACACGGCGTCGCGCTCAACATGGTGGCCCTTGGAGTCTTTATATGATTTCCTCGAAAGGCCATGGAGCTGGATACCGCTGGACATCTGCAGACTGAGCCGAATCAGTTCTGCTAATGCCCCAGACCAGCCGTTCGCGTTCCAAGCGTCTGCTGTCTGTGCTCCCGGCCCTCTGGCACCAAGCGAGACCAAAGCAAGACCTTCTTTAGTTGAGGCTCTGCCCTTCTGCTCGTGGCTTTGCCAGTTAACGTGCTGTTTTTCTTCACTACGTGCGGAAACGGAGAAAGCGAGCCAGTGCATCGTGCGTTTCAAGACGTAGCTCCGCCTCTGTTGTGGGTTGCAGTTCCAGATGCGGGTTGCTGCGACCGAAGTTGAGCCAGGTTTACTTGCAGAGGCAGAAGCCGCGGCCATTCACAAGCCCAAACGCCCAGGTATGAGTTGGGCATGCCAGCTTACAATCAGGTCCCTGCAAGCTGTAGGATGCTAGACATGTCATAATGGCCGAGGTCCAGAAGTGCCGAGGAAGCCTGCGGCTGCACCAATCCCAGATGGCTCTGTGTCTTCTATTCGTTCTCTCTCTCTCTCTCTCGCTCTCTCTCTCTCTCTCTCTCTGTGTTTCTCTCTGTAGCACGGTACCATAAGACGGTAAGACCACGCAAGTACAGCTGCAGATTCGGATGGAAGATCTACGAGATGTACGGGGCTGAGAACTTCCGCAACTGGACACATTGCACGTCTGGCGAGATTTGCTGTGGATTAAAGGCCACGGCTGCTGCCATCTTTGTTGCGGAGGACCTTGGCTCGCGACTGTGCCACCGCGTGGCCCTTTGTCTTGCACCTGACAGCGATGTGGGCAGGAGCGCGAGGCTCTCAACAGCCCATCCAATGCCACGCACTTGGGACACATAGGCTCGTGTTAGGCCGCAGGCTGATGCTCGGGACAGACACTGCAGACTCAGACCTGTACCATCTTGGTGATGCTGAGGTCCAGAAGCTCAGCAGGTCGTGATATGGGAGATATTCTTCGTAGTTTGCAGTGGTGGGGGAGTAGGCAATGCAAAGAGAGGTTTGTCAAGTCTTCCCAGTGTTGGTGTCAGCAGCAGCACATCCACACGGAGCTGCAAGCGAGGAAGAAAGTCCTAGTACGGCTTGGGGACCCTTGGGGGCCTGAGCAGGTCCCGGCGGCATCAGGACGTCCCGCACAAGGAGCTAAGCTTTGCAGTCCTCGGTTTAGACTTGGCAATCAGTTAATGCGTGCGCGCAGAGAGCTGACGCTTGACAGATCAACTTTCGGTGCAGTCATGTCTTCCGCTTTTTCGACACTTCCAACGCTGAAGAGGGAGAGCCCAGCTCCTGGCCTTAATGCCCAGGGAAATGCAGCTCCTCAATTGGCCCTCTTGAGACCCTGAGGCGACCCTGGAGAAACCTCTGGCTCCCACCCGGCTCCCTCAAATGAGAAGTTGAGCCCGTCTGTCTTTGCAGTTTCGTCGCACAGGGTCACAGGGCCCTCTAAAATGACTCAAACTCAGAGACTTCGGTCCTTTGGCTGAGGGCAGTTTCTTGTTTGGTGCAGACGACCGATGAATGACATTTCTTTAACACGGTCAACGTATTTCAACGCATCTGTCTCACTGTCTCTCGCTCTCTCCATTCTAGCTGCTGGTGAAAAGTTTGACCGTCCTAAAATCGTGGCTGGCTACCCCGCACCGACGAACGGACCCCAACGAGGCCATAAGTCCAAGGCCTGTTGGATCATGCAGGATACAGTCGGATAGTGCTTGTCCACTTGCCTGTCTTCGGACCGTGCTCGATAAAGCCATCAGCAGGGGGGGAACAATGCAGTAAGCTATTTTGTCTGGTCAGGAAGTCTGGGCCAACACCTGCCAGTCCAATCTCCTTTTCGAGGTGGCCAGTAGCATTCCAATGTTGGGCAATTCGCATCTTGTTTCTCCAGGTGTGGAGACCGCCAGATTTGGTCAAGGCCGGGCGCCCACCGTGGACTTTGCAGTCCGGTGGTAGCTTGCCCGCAGGACTGGGAGTGGGAGCTGCCGGCGCCGGCCTCGCTACCCGCTGGTGCCGCCAGGGTGAAGCCGGGGCGCTTGAAGCGTTTGCGGCTCAGACAGGAAGCATCTTGGCAAGCGGCTTGTGGCGCAGAGCTGCGAGGTTCTTGGACTTTCAGTTCCGAGCAATGGATGCCTACATCCACGAGAGGCAGACCTCGCCCCGTCAGCAGAGATGCATGTGCAAACGAATGCAGCAATCGGGGTGCAAGGCGATGAGCCACCACCCCGCACCGCCACTGCAGGGATCAGGTGCTACTCGCAGTTCTACGGATGTCCTGGTGTCCTAGAAGACTTTCCTACTATGAAGGACATACATGGAGGATGCGTGTGCAATTGCGTAGGCTCTGTATAGTCCCGGAGCGCAAAATGTCTTTCAGTGAAGCTGTCGAATGTCATAGCACAGAGCCTGAGCGGTTGGCACCCGTGCATCGTTGCGACCCAACGGGCAACGAGCAAGAAGCTGCACTCCTTCTCTCCGCAACCAAGTTGGTATTTGAGCTTTTTCGGTGCTTTGTGAGGAATTCCGGATACGAAGAGGGTCATGATCCCAAAAGAAGCCAATCACCAATGAGACGACGACGACGACGACGATGAGCAACGGTGACAATGGCAACCTTCGCTGTCTCAACTACATGCGTATTTGTACCTGTGCGACTTGCAGTAGCAACGAGCCATCAGCCATCAGCAGCACTAGAGGTAGAAGTTGTTGGGAAACGAGCAATGCCTGCTGCATGCGATCAGAATGAACCCTTATTGTAGTGACTCCTCTACGGATGTTCTAGCGACTAGCGACTTCGGAGGCCGGAGCCTGCGCAAAGCCGGGGCCTCGGATCTCTCGGCTTAACGATAGGTCTGATAGGTGTTGCACTTCTCGCCGAATCTCGCCGAGGTGCGTGGCTCTCTGACAACGGGGAGCGGCTTAGCTAAATGGCGCTCTTTGTCAGATCGCCTCCCTGCCTCGATGCCGCTGCTCGTGGAGTGCAACAGAACAAAAGCGTCTTTGTTCATAAGCAAAGTGCGCGCTTTGCTTGCAAGGTTTGTGCGGCCAACGCCTTTGAAGGTGACCTGGGCTCTTGTCATCATAGTCAAGAGTCAGGGGTCAGAGTGTTGGGGCCAGGCACGCATTCGCATGGAAGCTCCGGTCCCGTCGCCGTCGCCACCTGCCACGCATGTGCCCTACATGTCTGACTTCTGCGTAACATCCGGTTTCAAGAGTAGCATCCAGTCCGTGCAGCGCACGAGCCTGGCTGCTAGAGCTGCTAGAGGTTTCACCAACGTGCAGCTACGGCCGCGGCATGGGCTGGGAACTTAGGCAACAGACATGCCATGCTTGGGCAATGTCTCTACTTCTGCCAGGTGTTCGGCAGACGCCAGGTCCCAGAGCCTGTCAATACCCTGAGCCAGGACCAGGCGACCAATGGCTTCCTCCTTTCAAGTCGATGTCAGTTTCAGGGTGACATCTGCAGGACCCAGAAGCTCAGGCGGACCTGCTGGTGACTGAAATGCGGGAGCAACTGAAGCACACCTGCAAAGAGCCGCTTCAGGCAGACCGGTGCCCGGGTTTCGTGCATGCCACCTTGAGCTTGGAGGATTCTGCGTTGAACCTGGAAGGTGCGAAAATTGATTTTCCGCGATTTGCAACGGTCTGGCGCCCAAGTAGTGACCGGTTCACGTCTAGAGATGTTGTAAGTTGAGGTGCCAGGTTGCAAGTTTTCTGACATGAGACCGGCGGGGTGGAGCATTTGAGGCAACTTCACCCGGACAAAAACACGGAATGCGAGGAGGCTTGGGATGGAGGTCATGGCCCAAGTGCACCAGAAGCGCATCCTGCCCAGGCTGCCAAGCACGCCTTCCAGAAGCTAATGGAGGAGCGCCATGCCCCGAGCAATTGGAAACTAAGAAACTTCGAGAAGGCCCAAGTGCAACGGGCACCTGATGGACTCTGTCGGATGCAAAGCATGTAATGCTCCAAGGCAGGGCATACCTTGGTACCGAGCCGGCCGGGTTCGGGCAGGCCGATGAGCCTGCAGCACCAAAGTCAAGGGTGATATGTGCTCGCATCTGCAGTATCAGACCCACGGTATCATCTGCAACTTGACGGTGAGGCAAGTGAATCAAACAAGTGATCCAGGCTGCAGTGGTTTTACCATACCGCGACCACCCGGCCATTCAACATTGTGATATGAGTTTCAAGCAAGATGCATGTCGAAACCGTTATTCCTATTCATGTCCTGCCACAGCCAGAGTCTGCGGCAAGTTGCAGCTTGGTTCCTGGCATTTGGGTTGGATTGCAGACTGCATAGTTGTCCTGTCTCTGCTTCTCATGAACCCGAGCATGGCCTAGGGATTTTTGGCCGGTCACAAATTCAGTTAGCTTCATTAGCCGGCGCAGAAGCGCCGTTTTCTGCCCGAGCGCCTGGTGAATGCCGAGCTGCTGCCGTAGAGCACCAGCTTGGACTCTTCCAGTAGAAGTGCACGAGAGTGCCACGAGATGCCGCTGATTAACTAGATCCTCTTCTCGTGCATTTCTTCTTGTGTCTTTGCATGCTTAGTCTTCACACGGCATTGTTGAATGCACGTGCTTTTTGTCGTTGGTGGAGAAACATGGGCTGACTGTTTTTTTTCGTTTCAGCTCCCCTCCGCTTTTCGTGTGGGTCGCAGAGTTTGTCTTCCCCAATGCTCAGGCTGTGGTGCTCACCCTACGAGCTTCGTTCTGCTAAGTTCCAGGAGAGCAGCATTGCCTTTTCAGCCCCCGGCTGGCACAGTGAGACCATGTGGTTCTGCAAGGCGACCATCCTAAGTGCTGAGGAATGAGTGCATGGTTTCAGCCCGGCAATCCTCTGCGTTTGCTATCTTCTTCTGTCCTTCTAACAAGAGTAAAGAGAGTACAGTCGTTCACAGATGCAGCAACAGGAAAGAGAAATGGGACAATCTGATGTCACTTCTCCCGGTCTGACTCAGCCAGTGGTTAGTGCAGACAACTTTAGTCAGAGGACAAATCCCAAGCACTGAACACCTTGAGGACACGTGCCATAGTTGTCACCTGGCATGGTGAAATATCAGAAGGTCTTCAGCGTAGGGAGAGCTTGTCTTCTGGAATTCCGGGTAATGCGATTGGTTTCAATCGATTGGGGCAGCAGTTCGCTTTGTGTGGCTTCATACTTCACCACGATGTCTTAAATTCTCGGCAGGCCCAAGTTTGTGTGTGAGCTGGTCAGATCACTCCATCCATTGCGCAAGCGGGCTGTGGCAGATGTTACACCACAATCGAGTCACGTGCATCGACTGCTTATATAATACTGCTGTGGAAGCCTCTGTCTTGAGTCCTGATCGTCGCTATGGCGCTGCTTGGAGAGGTTCGAGCTTCAGTTGAAAGACCCTGACCCAATCGAAGACTGTCGATGTCAGAGTCCTGCCAAGTGCAGTCATCAGTCTGGACTCCTGCCACCCAACCCCACCGATGAATTGCAAGGCATTTGCCCTTGGCGCAGCACCGCCTACGCCGCCGGCGAGGCCCGTTCGCGTAGGCAAGCTGTATGGTCTGACTCGGTAAACTTCCTAAGCTCAGGGCACTCGCTGAGCTTTGAGGCTCGTCTCAACACCTGGACGAACGCCGGAAGTGACGCTTGAGCGAGGCCGGCCTCCTTCGACGGCTCTAGGACTTGGAGCCTAGGTGCTCTTCACGTTTGCTGCCGTCATCAGCATGCGCGCTGGTGATGGCAAAACTTGATGGATCAAGGCATGCCGTCGGCACTGTCGGCGGCCGCGACGGTTCTGGCAGCAGGTGTGGTGGCGAAGAGGCGATGCACCTGTGAAGCCCTTTCTCATGTTCTGCTGGTCAAACAGGGAAGCAACGAGGTCTGTGCCAGCCTCACTGTGTCTCAAGTCCATAGTACCAAGCAGACACACACGAGAAGAAGAGAAGATCGGGCCGACGAGCCGCAGACCTTGCTCGATTGTGTTTGTGCTTGATTGGTGGTGCTTAAACGGACTAGTGTAGTGCGCGCACAAGCAGAATGTATCACATTTCCCAGGGGTCCTCGAATGCACAGTCATCGAGTCGTACTCGAGCGTGGCTCTGTCAGACTGCCTTCTGCCTTCTTCACAATGAACGAGGGAAGCCGAGACAAACATAGTTTCATTGGGCCAAGACAGGAGACGGAAGTGCTGCATGTATTTAACGTGCCTTTAGCCTTGGTTTCCACGAAAATACCAATCTGAGACTCGGTCATGCGCACAGGTTCGACGTCTTGTCCGCCGATATGCTTTCGAGTTTGATATGGCCCAATTTTTGATGACCAATTTTTATTGACCCGCGGAATCCTCGATGCATATTGGGGCCCTAGGAGCCGGGAGGAGCTAAAGCAAGCCTCATGGGGGCCTCGACCCGAGCCAGGCGGAGGGTGGCAGCGCGAACGGCACCCGTGGCAGCTAGGGCTGGGATCTCGGTTGAAAGACGCCTCTTTCCAATGATGCTGTCGTCAGCATTTTCGGATCCGTTGCTTCACTTGTGGTGGTTCTGTTTCGGTGCCTGCAAGGGCAAGCACCGTTTGCTAGAATCTGCTAGAGTGGTGAAAGGGGAAGAAAGCCGAGCCGAGCACTTGCAGACTGAACCACATCAAATCTGTCGAGAGAGACTATGAAGATTCTTAAATGATGCGGTGTTGCTGCAAGGCTTTTACCCTAACGTTAACCATATTGTGTGATGCCCCTTTGGGGCTTCTGAGAAATCGGCGCTCGACCTCCGTCATTGTGCGCATTGCAGATTTCCTCGTGACGATGACAGTCCACTGCGCTGGCGAACTCTTCTGCTGAGTTGCGACTGTCGATTCGCGAGCACGAAGCCCCCAACAAAGACGTTTGTTCTAGTCCCATTTGAAGACCGAGCACGGACGAGGCACAGCCCCAGCAGAGCGGCGGTGGCGCTGCAGATGTCGAGGATTTTGCTATGTCTGACTTGGGCTCAAGGTTGAATGAGTGAATCCAACTGGGGCTGGTTTTCAGCCTTTTAAAACTGAGGGGTTCTGAGCTGTTCGAGGATGTCGAAGATGGAAGGCGGCTTCCCGCATCTCTTTGAGAAGTTGATCTCGATAGATCGCGCTTTCGCATCCAACAAGCCAGCCTTCAGCTTGCTCGGAGTTTCTGTGGCCTCTTTCTCAAGGAACAGGGACTTAGAGGCTTAGAGGGAGACAGAGAAGCAGTGGACTAAAAAGACTTAGTCCCTGACGAAGCAAGACGCAGGTTGAGACCGACCAGATCTGCTCTTTGGAAACCGGCGCTTCACTACGTGACTTTGCTATTATGCTGCAAAGGATTACTCGAAAGGACACATCGAACACAGAGAACAGAAGCTGCAGCCTCATTATCCAAGCGTCTTATGTCTGCACTCAGCGGGAACTTCGAACCCACTGCCAATGCGCAGCGACATGCAGCTACCCTGCCAGACGAACTAATCTCGCACGGGATTTTAGCGGACTGATTTTCTGATTGAATCGACACCAAACCAATCAGGCCAGTGGATGCCAGCATGCTGACGTGCTCTACTGGACAAAACTTCGCCCCAATGTAATGTGTGTGTGTGTTTGTTGAGGCACAGTATACGATATTTCTATATAGACACATGTATGTGTATAAACATTTACATGTGTATACGTCTTTGAATGCATGATCTGCACGTCGATCATAAGGGATCGGGGTCACACTACTTGAAGTTCTGGATCACACTTTATACTTCAAGCGCCACGGACCGCATGCCGTGGTACAGGGGGCCGGGGGCATAAAACTCTAGAACCTTGATTTGTGCTTTCACGTGCGGCCAGACCCTGCCATCAGGTGTCCGTACAGTGAGACCCCTCCGTTGCGGTGTATGATACATTCCAGCCACGATGAGATCTGAGTGCCGGAAAGTCGCAAGGAGCTGGAGCCCTTCTTCGAGGAAGTCTCAGGTGATGACCCCTTGGTGTTGCACTCAGCTTCGTGACGCGTCATGTGCAGTCACTAGTCAAAAGTCGGAAGCAGGTGCTGGACCTGGAGGATAGGCTGCGCAAGATGAACGGTGCCAGCAACTTGCCCGCTCCCTTGCAATGACAAAGGCGGTGTGCCTTGCCTACGTTTTGACAGCTGGTTCCAAGGACGCTCGACATGGTTCTGAACCCGGGCACGATTGTTAACACGGAGCGCGATGTGATCCTCCTGCGGGCCGAGCTCAAGGATGCGGTGCTCCAGTTCTCAGCCATAACATAGGGTGCTTGGAATGCTTACATCGCAGGCGACGCCAGAGGAGGACACCGAGAAGCGCAAAAAACTAGAGGCAGCGCCCGCTTCATCTTCTCTCAGATTGTCGAATTTTTTCTGCGTGACACCACCGTACTTGTAGCAGTGGCAATGAGCGAGAGTGCGATCAAGACTTGACAGGACAAAATCGAAGAGAAGCAGATGAAGGACTGCATAGCAGTTGAGTCAAGACGTTCTGGCAATCAGATGTAAATGCTGGGGATCGCTGGAAGTAAGTAAGCAAGTGTGTGTGTGTGTGCACACGCCTGCGCGAGTACGTGTTGATGTCGTATAGGGGCTCTAGTTGCTAGTCTGCTAGTCTTTGAATCGTCGGTGACTTGCAGATCGTCAACGAAATGAAACTCGTCATGACCGACAACCTCAAATTGGAGACTGGCACTCGGAAGCTGAATCTAGTCATCTTTGAGGATGCAAGAAAATGCTTCACTCAGTTTCTGCGATTGCCATGCTTGTGAAGGTTTTTGGTGCAGGCCATTTTGTGCGGAACCGAATCCCTCGTGGAGTCTGGCGGATATCTTTGCTGACGATTTGCGCGGAAACTCCGCAACGAATCAGGTCCATTGTTGCTTTTGGCTTCATGTGCTACGATGCCTTCCCATGGGTGCGCGGCCAAGAAGGAACTTGATGTGTAGGCATCGAAGTTGCACTCGACTTGCCGCCAGCTGAGATTCCCGACCTTACCTGGGCCGGCATCAACAAAGTGGGTTGCCTTGCTGCGAGCTACGAGGGTGAGGATGCTAATGTATATATATATATGCATGCTGCACTCCCCCCCGATGTACCTACCTATTTGGTGTTTGTGCCACCTGTGTGTGTGTGTGTGTGTCTGTGT